CTGGGGCAGTCCCGCCAAGAAGCCTGAGCCTGCCTGAGCCAAATCCTCTTTGTGACTTTCCTCTACAGCAAAAATACCAAAGTGTGGGAGGCAGAGGCGAACTGTCATCCCTGGCCACACCTCTCACATGCCTTTTCCTCTAAGGTACTTATAGTAGTTAACAGGCTAACATGTTTGTAGCTAAAAATGTTTCAGAATTTCTTTGTAAGTAGTTGGTTGCACGCGGTCATTCCTCCTTCTCTGCTCCTAAGACCAGAAGCAGTTTTGGGTAGATGCTCAGTCCATAGCCCTGCCTGGTGGTGCCTCTGGCATTAGTGCCGGTCAGTTGGGAGTGTCAACAGCAGTGACCTTGCCATGTCCTCAGGCCCGCCCTGGGCAGTAACGAGGAGACTGGCCCGTGAGAGCTGCATTTGTCTACATCATCCCTATGGGGGTCCCCCTGAGCCAGGGCTTCCCAAGCTCCGTTCGATGCACCGATTTCCTGTGGGCCTGCTGTGTCCAGGCACTGCTCTGGACTTGGCCATGGTGGATAAATGGCTTGCTCCATGGAGGTTCATGTGGTGGGAGCTGAATTCTCTGGTGACGTCTGCCTAGGACTCCGGTGGAGAGGTAGGTTGTCAAGAGTGGGAAAGGAATTCATCTAACACCAGAGGGCCTGCCGTGCGTCCCCTTATCTGGCTGGCCACAGTGGTGTATGATTTGTGCCCCCTGAGCCTTGGATGTACTTAGTGATTGGGAAGAGTTGACTGGGTGGGCCTGACTGGCCTAAGCCAACTTGGTAGCCCTATCCCTTTGCCTGTGCTAGTTGCACGAGGCATTTTCAGACTCCAGGGGATGTGTGTGTGTGTGTGTGTGTGTGTGTGTGTGTGTGTGTGTGTGTGTGTACGTGTTGGGGGCAGGGCAGTTCTGGAGAAGATGTTTCCTCACTCTTCTGAGTCAGCCCCCCTGTGAGAGAGAGGGTCTCTCTTGGTACACCATTGGGTGTGAAGTCTGGAACTGATGAGGCAGTTTATCCCCTGAGGAAATCTGCTGTAGGGTGATCGGATCCCTCAGACGCCAGAATGGGAAGACACCGGATCTTGGATGATGTCATTGAGCCCCGATTGGGCTAAGCCAACCTGGTGGCCCCATCCCTTTGTCTGTGCCAGGTGCACAAGGCATTTCCAGACTCCAGGGGGAGTGTGTTTATGAATGGAATCCACCCTGAAGCCTTCTCTCCTCCCCAGGCTCTCCCAGGATGCCTTATCGTTTAAGTTAATTTAGAGTTGAGTTTTTGAGTCCTCACTCTTTGCTACAATAATGCCTGCATAAAGTTGACATTTCGTCCTCAGCAACCTTGTGAACTGGGTTTAAGTTTTATCTTAACTGTGTTGTTATTTTTGAGTTGGAGTCTCATTCTGTTACCCAAGCTGGAATGCAGTGGCATGCTCATGGCTCACTGCAGCCTCAACTCCCTAGGCTCAGGCGATCCTTCCACCTCAGTCTCCTGAGTAGCTGGGACTACAGGCATGTGTTACCACATCTGGCTAATTTTTTTTGTAGAGACGAAGTCTGGCTATGTTGCCTAGCCTGGTCTCGAACTCCTGGGCTCAACAATCCTCTTCAGTGGCCTCCCAAAGTGCTGAGGTTACAGGTGTGTGCCTGGCCTCCCTTCACTGTTAAGTGAGGCAGCCTAGAGTTGAATCTGTTTATTCTGGTTATAAATCTCAGGTGTCTCTAACACATACTTCTTTGGTCTGCTTTTCAGGGCTAGGATCCCAGCAAATAATAGGCCTGACTGAGAAACGGACATAGCCGGACCTAGGGATAAGGAGAGACATGTGGGCCTGGCTGATGTGAGGTTTGCCGAGGGTTCCTCTGTCTGAACCCCGTTGGACTCTGATGTAATTTTCCTCATGGGCCGATGTAGCCTAAGTCTGAAATCCCTTGGGGTGTTTTTCTGCATCCTCCTCTTAGTTGACCTGACCTGCCTCTGTCCCTGTGGGCCACATGCTCAGGGCAACAGCTGGATCACATCCCAAGGACTCAGACTTTATCTTGCACACTTTATGGGAGCTGGCCATTTCCCACCGGGCACTTGATCTCCCAGGGATGTAGAATGCAGGTGCTAAGGAAGTTTCAGGTTCAGACAAATTTCAGTACAATGATGCAGACTAAGTAAGGTCTTAGACTTTAAGAACTCAGGCTATGGAAAACATGGTGAGATTGTGTGAGATCCGTCTCTGGGGGAGGGGAGTAACGACCTGAAATGTCACATCATAATGAAATCTAGAGCCAGAAAACCATGTATGCTGGGATGTGGGCATCGGGCCAGGGACTGTGGGAAGGAAGAGGACCCTTGGCTCGAGGAGAGGGAACCTCAGTTCTTTCACCCACGTCCCATCTGGTAGCATCACCTGGGGTGGCTCACAGCTTCTCATCTGGAAAAGTGTGGTTGCAAGCCCAACTCTCTGATCTCAAGAAAGCTGTCTATGCATCACATAAAAGTGGAACTGCTTGGCTTGTAAGGGATACATGTGGGGGCTCAGGGCCTGTCTGGAACCCTGTGCTCACTGGAGCATGGTGATCTCAGGCATCTTCCGTTTTGAAAGGTGAGTTTCACAGAGCGAGGAAGTGGCGGATGCAGGATGCAATGCGGCCCAGTGGCCGCCAGAAGGAGCAGTGCCAAGTTTCCTAGGACAGCAGGGGGGGGAGGGTCCTGGGTCCCTTCAGTCTTCAAGGTTGTCTTGACTACGGCAGCTCCCAGAGTGCCCAAGGCTAGCGTCTTTCCATTTCTCTGTCCGCTCTTCTCTCTGGTGGTGGTTTCACCCCAAGACTGGCTTCTTCAAGGGGAAGCTGCAGCAAGTGCAAGTTTTGTGGGAAAGCCTGCTTGGGATGACACAATCTTGTCAAACCTTTAAATGGACTCTTACATCTGAATGTGAATTTTCACCCCGCCTGACTCCTGGTTGATGCATGCAGAAGTGCGCTTTTGCCTTCTGAAGGGAGGGGTTTGTTTCAACTCACTCGTGCCATGTGTCCACATGGGAGGGGTACCCTCCAACCTCTTGACAGGTTAATTTGAAAAGACTCCAAAGCCAGCCCGCCCATCATATTTGGAAAGATAGGCATTCATTCCAGTTATCATGTCTTCTTTAAATTTTTTTGAGATACTATTAATAACATACCATAAAATTCACTGTTTTAAAGTACACGATTTAGTGTCTCTTAGAATATCCATAAGGTGTGGTATGACCTTCACTACTATCAAATTCCAGGATACTTTCATCACCCCCCAAAACGACCCCATCCCTATCAGCAATCACGCCCTCATCCCCTTGATTAGTCACCGACCTACTCTTTGCCTGTATCAGTTTGCCTATTCTACACATTTCATATATGAGAGGCATCCTCCAAAACCCAGAATTTATTTATAAAAAGTTGTGTATTCTTATATGTTTAACTTCAGTTGCCTTCAAAGCACGCTTCATTTGATGCCATACACCTATTGAGATGCTTTTACCACTGCTCAAAACAACTTTTGAACTCTCAGTTTTGATGCCTATTAGCGCTTCTGTCATTTTTGTTGCACCTCTTCCATATTGGCAAAACATTTCCCTTTGAGGACTTTCATCTGGGGAAACCAAAAAGCACTCAGGGTGAGAGCGGGTGATTAGGGAGGGGCGGGCACAGCAGTCATGCTGGTTTTGGTCAAAAACTGCTGAACACTCAGCATGGTGTGGGCAGGTACACACATAAATCACCCATCATGAAACAGGCAAATATGTTGAAAGAATCTCCAAAAAAAAAAAAAAATACACTGAAGCCAAACACAGCCACTCACAACAATGCTAGCTGGTACACTGATGCCTGTGGGTTCCTAGAACATTAACCCATTGGGGGAAGCCTGTACTACAAGGGTCTACCCTCCAAAAGATAATCCTTTTTTGGGGGGGGGTCCCTTCACATACATGGAACTATATAGTATATGGTCCTTTGTGATGGACTTTCACTCCACATGTTATAAAGGTTTGTCCATATTATTGCATGTATCAGCATTTCATTTATTAGGGCTAAATAATATACTGTTGAATGGACTATGACAGTGTGGCCAGTCATTCATTAGTTGATGGACATTGGGGTCGTCTCCAATTTTCGCTATTGTGAATATTGCTGCCATGAACATGCATATACAAGTTTTTGTGTGGGGACGATGTGTTTTTACTTCTCTTGAGTGTGTGACTAGGAGTGGGATCTCTGGATCATATGGGAACTCTGTTGAACTTTTGAGGAACTGCCAAGCTGTTTTCTACAGTGGCCGCACCGTCTTACATTCCCACCAGCAATAGATGAGGTCTCATCTTCTCCATGTCCTCTCCAGGACTGATGACTGTCTGTCTGTTGGATGATGGCAGACAACCTAGTGGGTGTGCGGTTATGATGACTTCTTAAAGTAAACACACACGCAAGCAAATAAAAGTGAATTGGGTAAGAATTCGTAAGGCTAACAATGGCTGAATGAAAAGCCCTCAGGAAGTGGACTTTGCTTCAAAAGGTCAACGCTTTTCATGGCAAAGTGTTTTTGTTTCCAAAACACTCGGTGGCTTCCATTGACTTTATTTTTGTTCCATAAACATTTTATGTGCCAGGCACGGGGCTAGGGGATGGGATGGAGTTGAGCGAGGTGGTCTGTGCTTTTTTGGAGCTTACAGTTTCACAGGGAAATAAGACAGGATCACGGAGACCCATCGTGCAGGGCAGGAAGTAGCAGGGGCCATCTGGAAGGTATGAAGGAAGAACAGCAGAGGGTCAGAGGAGGGAGAAGTCCCCCTGGGTGGACACGTAACACGGTCTCTCACCCACAGAAACAACCTCCCAGATGGACTAAGGAGATGAGGTATGGCTTCCAAGGGTTTCATGTGTTAGCATATTGAAGGTAGCTGGTGTTGCCAAGGCCTTTTGAAGGGGCTCCGCTGGCCCAGACGGTGGTGGACGACGGCTGACCACACACGTCCAGGCTCTCACAATGCCCCCAAGGGGTCACTGCTCTCCAGCTGTAGTTCATCAGAGTCCTGGAAAAGAGAGGGCTGTCAGTACAGCAAGGGGCAGCTTGTCCTGCCTGTGGGATCCTTGCTGGTTGAACGAGATTCTCCCAAGGGCCTTGGGAACACGTGTGAAGTGGGCATGCTCGTTCATGCGGCTGCCTGGTGTGGGGAGGCTGGGAGGCCTAGTGGTTGTGGCCGCTTGTTCTGGGGGCCCATTCAGTCCCTGCTGCTTGGAGCTGAGTGTCCCTGGATGAATCACCTCAACTCTGTTGCAGCTTCCTCATCTACAAAGGGGCATGGTAGTAATTACCTCGCAGGGAGGCATGGGGATTAAATTAGACACTACATCTAGCAAGGTGTAAGCACCCCAAAAACGTGATGTCTCACCTGGTCATGAGTTGGACTTGGGCAACCCTGCCTCAACCCCGCTATCTACCCCAAAGAATCCAGGACCTCTGCACAGCCACGCTGGCTTCAAGCAGCTGGCAAAGCTGGCTTTGGGGCTTGTGGCCTGAGACACGTTCTAGAAGTGAGCTTTTTGTGGCATGAAGCTCTTGCCAAAATTTGCTGAAAGACATCGTTGCCCTGTGCCCGGCAGAGCCCGTTTCTGGAGAGGGATGCGAACTCACCACGAAGGGGTCATAGGAAGGCTCGGGGGGAGCCGCGGCCACGCTCTCATACATGGGGTTTGAGATGTTCTCAGGTGGCCGATTGCCAAGAGCCGCAACATCAATGTCCTCTTCCGACTGTTCAGGACGACAGGGGTGAGGGCGGAGGGCCAAGACTGTCCCCAAAGCAGGAGCGTGTCTTCTGAGTCCCAGGGAACGGGCCATCCTCCGCCTTTGGGAGCTTTCTCTTTGTGACAGTACTTTGTCAAGATACGCACCAACCTTGAGGTTTAGCTCAGTGGCATCCTGCACACTTCTGTCTAGGTGTGACCACTGCCCAAATCAGCATATGGGACATTTCCGCCGCCCTCCAACAAGCACCCTCATATGCTTGTCTGCCAATCCTCCCTTCCCTGGGCAATCCCTCTTCTGACTCCCGTCAACCTGAAGTGGCTTGTCTTTGAACTTAGTATGAATGGAAGCGTACGTATGTGCACTTGTGCTAGATGTGGTGTTTTTGAGATCTGCCGCGGAGCTAATCTAGAAGGCAGGGAATAGCCACTCGGGACTCTGTCCAGTCTTTGGCCAATGGGCTTTGAGGGGACAGCAGCAGGAGAGGATGGGCAGGAGGGGTACACAGTAATCAAGGAGGGTGCTCAATTGCCCATACCCTCCCCCGCTGCCCAGTCACCACATGGTCAGCCAGGACAGGGTGTGGACCCAGCTGTTCACACGCAGACAAGTGAGTCTCACTGGCCGCTGTGTGAAGCCTGTGGCTGTGCAGGTCCCAGTCCTGTCCCCAGCCCTCAGGGCCAGCTATAGTTCAAGACAAACAGTGGCGCATGCTGGTCTAGGGACTCCTCCTAGGCCCCATGGAGTGTGGGCCTAAGAGGTGTCCCAGGAGGGGTGATGGAAGTCTGCTGCCGTCTGGCTTTTTCTCCTTCCGTGGGCAGCCCTCTGTGGAGGGAAGTTCTGCTTCCCGGCCCCAGAACCCAAGTTCCTTGCCTGCCATCACCGGGAGGAAGTGCAGGACACACCAGTGGCCCTTGGGCCAACAAGCTGATCTCAGGGCTGCAGAGGACCTCAGACCTGCCTTGGCCAGGAAGAGGGCCTCACAGCTGCCACTGTGCTCCTGGGGCAGAGACCCTGCTGGGCGGCATGGACAGGGTGGCCCCGTGCCACTCCCAGGGGAGGCCTCTGAGGCCGCAGCCAGTGGGAGTTGCCCAGAGCCCAGGGGGGGTTTCAGAGAGGACCCAGCGGTCACGGTCCCATTTTCTTCTTACCTCAAAACGCTGGAAGCCGGTCCCTCTCCGGCTGAGCCGAAAGTGAGAATAGGCTGCCAAGGCAATGGCTCCAGCAACCAGGATGACGGCAAAGAAGATTCCTGTCCCCAAGCCAGTGTGGGCCGAGGTCTGCGCACAGAGAGGAGAGGGGCTGAGCTTATAACACTGGCGACTCCCCGTAGGAGCCCTGAGCTCTCCCCATCCTAGCTGGCCCGAGGCATCTTGGAGTCAGTTGGGATACAGATTATGAGATGTTAACATGTAAATGGCCCCTACTACTGCCAGGGTCTGTTCTAACCCTTTTCATGAAATGACCCATTTAAGTGTTATAATAACCCAAAGGGATAAGGACCATTATTATTGTGCTCATTTTGACATAGGGGAACTAAACCACAGAGAGGTTAAACACTTGCCCAATATCACACAGCCAGTGGTAGAAGCGGTCTTTGAACCAGCCTGGCTTTGGAGCTTGTGTGCTTTACTGCTACGCTGTGGAACTTTCCAGCAGCCAGCAGCTAACCCCTACCCTCCCACTTTGGGGAAAATTTAGACTATTTACAACTACCACCGGCAAGTTTTATATAGCATGTGCTATGGGTCAGGGTCAGCTCTAAGTATTTTATGTTTGTTAATTTACAGTCCTCCCCAAACCCATTTGCAGATGGGAAAATTGGGGCTCAGAGATCCCTATCACTGTGAAGCGGAGGGGCCAAACCAGAGCTCAGGATCGCTCACTCTGCTTCCAACGGTGTCTCCCCTGCCCGTCCCGCCCCTTCACTTGGCAGACACCAAATGGTGGCAGGTACAGGGAGCGGGGTGGGCTGAGGCAGGGCTGGGCGGCCCCTCCAGTCTCTGGGCATGGGGCTCCTCCAGTCTCTGGTCGAGGCGCGTGGGCAGGGCTCCCAGCAACTGTTTGCCTCTTGGGGAGTGGACACTGGGCTCCTCCTGGACCCTTACTGGGAAGGCTGGATACTTACCACGGGGGTGGCCGGTGCTTTTAAAGGCCTGGAAATGATATGAATGATCCCATTAGAGGCGACAATGTCCCCCTGCAGAATGGCTCTTCCATCGACAAACCTGGTCTCTTTCTAGAGAAGTGAGAAGAGGGGTGATAGAGGTCTGCCGCCATCTGGCTTTTTCTCCCCCTGTGGGCAGCCCTCTGTGGAGGGAAGTTCAGCTTCCCCAGGCTCCAGAAGCCAAGTTCCTAGCCCGCCATCACCGGGAGGAAGCGCAGGACACGCCAGTTACCCTTGTGCCAACAAGCTGATCTCAGGGCTGCAGAGGACCTCAGGGACCATCTGTCCAACCCTCTTGTCTAACTGATAAGCAGTCAGAAGGAACATGGCTTGTCCAAGATCACCCAGGCAGTCAGTGGCAGACCCTACGCCTCTGAACATCATACCACACTGTCAGAAACGGGATTTGTAAGGGATCTACTCCCAGTGTGATTTGCCAGCTTGCTGTGTGGACAGAGGTAGAGGACCCATGTCCCACTTGCTGAATCACAATCTGCATTCTAAACAATCTCCAGCTGGTTCGAATGTACCTTACAGTTTAGAAGCGCTAGTCTAAACTACTGCTCTTCAATAGTAGAAACCACTTCTCAGGTACAAGTAAAAATCTCAGTACTAACTGAGCGCTTGCTACATGTCAAGCACTATTCTCTGCATGTCACAAGCCTCAAATCACTGAATCCCTATAGCAAGCTAAGATTCAGACATTGTGGTTATCACCACCACCACCACCACCACCACCATCACTGTCCTGTCATCCATCACCAGGACCAGGACCATCTCAACACTGTCACGATCACCAACAATATCATCGCCGTCCTCACCCTCAATACTGAAGGGGTTCAGTACATACGTCCCCCAAACATGCCACTTTGGCATATTGATTATTTTGAGCGGAAGGCCCTTAAGAAATAGCAGGTGCAGGAAGGGCTCTCTGACCTCTTCCTTTCTACCTAAAATCGGGTCATAAAATTTCTTAGGAGAAGCCTGCCCTTTCTGTTCTGGAAGAGAAGAACGTTCTTATCACTGGAGACTGAGAGTCGATGCTGAAAGGGATCTGTACAAATAAATCTACTAAAATAACTCTTATCTTCTGTTAGTCCCCCTCCCCACATTTCCTAGTCACTTCCTATAATTTACCACCCCGAGCCTAAACCCCTTAACTTGTCACTTTTCCACAGATTCATCATTTCTTTATTTTGAAATGATGTAAGCTCTTGGTCCTAACTGCTTCTTTGGGTCTTCATTTGCTCTGGGAGATTAAATGCAATTTTGCATGCTTTCCTCCCGTTAATCTGTCTTATGTCAGTGTCATTCTCATGTCCAGCCATGACCCTAGAGGGTAGAAGGAAGTTTTCCTCACCTCATCATCGATCACTATCACCGTCACCAAAATAATGACCATCTCCTTCACCATTATCAGCTACATGATTACTGTCACCACCATTTTTCGGTTGTGAAAACCGAGACACAGGACAGTGGGATAACTTGTCTAAATTCTTTTTTTTTTTTAGATTGGAAAATATAGTTTATTTAGAAAGTAAGTTAGAGAGAGAGAGAGAGAGGAGATTCACCTCCTCAAGGGAGGATAGGGGGCCAAAACTTAGGAAACATGGCAGCAACCATGGCTCAAAGAGCACATGGCCACACCAGAGTTTAGTAAAGTTAGAAAGTAAATTCGAGAGAGAGGGGAGAGAAAGAAGATTCCCTTCTCCAAGTTAGGGGAGGGAGCCAAAGCTCTCTTGTCTAAAGTCTTAACAGCTAGTAAGTAGCAGAACTGGGATTCACAGCAGGGTCATCTGACTTAAAAGCTCCCACTCTTGAAACTTTGGGATAGACTGACAAGCTGACCAAAACAGAGGTGGAGAATAAGACAGCTCAAAAATGGTTTTGTCTGTCATTCCTCATGTCCAGCTTCCAAGGCTGGTCTATTTCCCGAGGCCGAGGGTCTGCCTAATTGTCTGGGCAAAATGCGATGATGTGCGGGTGTAGAGTTTATGTTCACATGATAATGGCTGCCATCTCTCAATAAGCCCAGAAGAGCTTTCCTACTGGCTGGAGTGGGTCCTGGCTGGAGGTGATGAGCAGCTGGCTTCCCAGCCTCGTTCGCAGAGTGGTGCCGTTGACAAGCTCGTCGTAGAACACAGTGCTGACACTGACGAGGTGGTGCTCAATGTCCTGGCCAGACAGGGTCTGAGATGAATGGAAAAACACGAGAATGGTCTTTAAGGGCCAAGTGGGATTTTGTCTTTTTAATGATACAGGTGACCCAGAAAAATAATCGCTCCTTGTGGCCTTGGCTTTCCTGCCTCTGCGGAGGAAATACCAAGGAAATACCAAGCTTTTCCTCGGGATTTTGGTTGTCTGGGACCATCTACAGCTAGGAAGGGACTCTGAAAATCGTCTTTATTGTCTAAAGCTTAGCAGAGGAATTGCTTCCCTTGGCCCGGGTGACCGGGCAGGGCTGTCAGAGCTGCAGGTCAGCCCGTCTGTGGGTGGATGGACCAAATACTGCCAATTCCTCCATGTGCCATGACGTGAGGAGGGTTGGTAAACAGATGCGTCCGTGGCCTTGGCTTTCCCTGCCCTTTGCCATGTAACTCTGAGTGTCCTCCGCCCTGACTTCAGATTGAGCTACGTGACCTGTTGGGCCAGGGTCATGTTGTCAAACGTGACCAAAGAGGCTGGGAAGCCCACGTGGGACAGGGGACTCTCGCCACTCTTGCTCCCTGCATTTGCCCCGAGAACACACCCAGGCTGGTCTGCTGAAGGGCGACAGCCCCACGGGGCAGAGCCACGGTGGGGCCGGCCAGAGTGACGGACGGCACGCCTCAGACCTGAGCCCACCGAGACAGAAGGGGTGACAGCGGATCTGCAGATGTGTGAGCCAAATGAAGGTGTGGCCCCTGAGTGTTGGGGTCATTTGTGACACAGTCTTGTCGTGATGCTGGGTAACAGGTGCACAGACACTGGGGCCCAACTCACCTCGTTTTCCCCCAGCCCACTGTTCTGTGGCACAAAGAAGGTGCCCTGGATGGAAAGGTCACTCAGGTGTTCCAGAAACGCCCGGCCTCTTGCCGAGCTGTTGGAATAGGCCAGTACTTCCTGGGGGGAGGAAGGGAGTCATCAGACGGGCTGGCCTTGGTGTGGGAGGATGGGGTGGCTGGAGAGGGATGCAGGGCATGGCCCATCTGGGAAAATTCCTGTCATCAGTCCGACTCAGGTCCTGCTCCTTTGCCGTGTCTTCTGACTGGCTCTCGGAGCGTGTTAGGACTTTTATGGCTTAAGACACAGCCACATCGCAGACAACCGAGTGTCCTTCCCCCACGTCTGCAAGGCTCACTCCCTCTCCTATGTTTACTCTGCTCTTCCCATCCCCTCTGTGAGCCTTCCCACATCACTTGATGCAGAATGGGGACCCTAGGGTGCCCCAGCCCCGCTCCACTGTCCCTTCTCCATCACCTTCCGGCATTCTGTACTATTCACTGGTTTGATCTGCTTATTGTTTATTTTATTGGTCTCTTTTGTTCGCTGATGTATCTCAAGGACATGGTAAGTTCACTGAACACGTTTTAAGATGTCACCCCAGCCAGTTTAACTTTGCCGTTGCACAGACAGGGCTACTGAGGCCCAGGAAGGTAAATCATTTGCTGAAGGGTCTTGTTCGGACACTGTTTTTTCTCTGAAATTCTGGAATTCTGTCGTAAGCCAAGCTCCATGGAGCAGAAACGCTGGTCTGGGCGTTTATCTTTAGCAATTTTTGGTGGCTCTGGTTTTTAGAGCAGAGAGATGGATATCTTAGTTCTGTGGACAAAGGTTCACCATTCTGAAGTCTGTGGTTTAAATTCTGCCCAGATCCTGCAAGCCCTATGCTCACGCCCAGTACCCTCTCCTCCCATATCACCGATTGTCAGTTCAGCTGGGAATGGTGGCTCAGTCTCTGCCTGCCTGTGTTCCTCACCATAGAGGTTGAGAGGGAGGGGGGTCTGGCACCAGGAAGTTTGACTTTGAACTCAGCTCTAGGAGTTAGGCTATGTCCTTGGCCTTCATCTGAAAAATGGGAATAGTAGAAGTGACCGTATCAGGTTGTATGGGGATTTCACCCTTGTAACAGGTATTTATTGAGCACCTGTCCTGAGCCAGCTACTATCCGAGGTGTCAGGGATACAGTGGTGGTCAAGGCAGAGAAAATCCTTTCCCTGGTGGGGCTCACATCTGCAGCCTGAATGGAATGTCCTTGCAAAGAGTTTAGTTCAGTGCCCCGTATAAGAAAAATGTCTGGGCAACTTGGCGAGACCTCATCTCTACAATAAATAAAAATGAGCCGGGCGTGGTAGTGCGCGCCTGTAGTTCCAGCTACTTGGAAGGCTGAGGCAGAAAGATCGCCGGAGCCCAGCAGGTCGACAGAGTGAGACTCCAACTCAAACCCCTGCCACCAAAACAGAAAAATGCTCAAGAAATGTTAGCTGTTGTTATTATGAGCTCAGTTCTTTCATCAGGCAACACCCAATCCTTCTCCAAGTGTTCTTCATTGGACATGTCTTGTTGAACATCGATGGGACTTTAAGTGCAGTGCAAAATGCAACTGAATTCATGTTAACTCTTTGGGTAATCAGCAGGCAGGCTAACACAAGAGTGTCTCGGCCAGGTTCAGTGGCTCAAACATATAATCCCAACACTTGGGGGGGTCAAGGTGAATGGATTGCCTCAGCCCGCGGGTTTGAGACCAGCCGGGGCGACTTGGCAAGACCTCATCTCTACAACAAATCAAAAATTAGCCAGGCATGGTAGCATGTGCCTGTTGTTCTGGCTACTTGGAAGGTTGAGGTGGAAGGATCACTGGAGACCAGCAGGTTGACGCTGGGGTGGCCATGAGCATGCCACTGTACTCCAGCCTGGGCAACGGAGTGAGACTCCAACTCAAAAAGAAAAAAAACAAACAAACCCCTAACCCTAACTGTTCCAAATGCAAGCAGAGGTAATAATACCAGTTAACACCAGTGTAGACTTTTCCGTGTACTGGCCACTGGTCTAAATGCTTCACAAATATTAAATCATTGAATTCTCACATGACCCTAAGAAGTTGGTGTTACCACCATCTCCATTTCTACAGATGGGGAAACTGAGACCCAGAGAGGAGAGTAGCTCATTTAAGATGATGTGACAAGTGAGGGGCAAACTCAAGCTTCAAATGTGAGCAGGTGGTCCAGTGCTGATGCTCTGAACCACAACTGTGATCCTTCGACTTAAAGGACTCGCCCCTCTGATACCTGCCTTGAGGCAACCCCTCCCTGCCTGCCGAGGCCGAGACATGGGACATACCGTCAGGAAGTTTGTGAGGGAGGGAAGGGACATCAGGACTTGCAGCAGGTTCCCACTGCACGACACGCCATTCCCCACATAGCCCACCTTGCAGGTGCAGTTCACATCTGGAGAGAAGAGCACACAGGCCACGCCCAGTGAGGCAGGAACCTGGGCTGCTCTCCTCCCCCGGGGAGAGGCCAGGCTGAGGGCTGTTCAGCAGCTGTGTGGCCCGGACCCGAGGCGTCGCTGGGGCAGTCACCTTTCATCCGATAGCAGAAGACATCCCACATTTCGCTCCTGTTGGGTCGAGGTCCGTAGTCCACTATCCCCACCATGCCGGAGCCGCATTTCTGGGAGGCAAAGGCCGTGGGGTAGGCGACCCGCCCACTGTCCAGCCAGCCTGCCGAGCAGAGGTGGTACTTGGCCTGCAGGGACACAGACGGGTGGGGTTCAGTTCCCATTTCAGATTCTTGTGGGATCATTTGGTCAATGTCTGACTCCCTCCCCAGGCTGTAAACCCCATGAATTCAGTCTCATTTTGCCTGCTGAATCCCCTGTGCCTGGCACATGGTAGGTGGTCATTAGACTTTTGCTGATAGAGCCACTGGATGAAAGAAAGCAGTGCCCTCTCCTTGTGGGCGCATGAGTCCTGCATTCTCACTTCTGTTTTCTCTGTTCTTGAGAAAGGACGTGCTAACCGCTATTTACCCCAGGTGCAAATTCTTCTGCTTTAGGTTGATAGAACTCTACTTGAGGATGGAACCCTAATTTATCACCGGCGTCATCATGGCATCATCATCATGGCCTCATCACCGCCATCTTCATCAGCATCACACTTATTGTGAGCTTATTCTTAGCTAGGTTCTCCTGCAAAAACTTTTTACACGTCAACACCTTTAACTCTCAACCAAACCTATGAAGTGGAAACTATTAAAATCCTTTTCATATAGTTGAGAAAATTGAGACAAAGGAAAGTTAAGTAACTTGCTCAAAGCCCGACAGTCAGCAAGTGACAGAGCTGGGATTCAAACCCAGGCAGTCTACTCCAGATATCCTAATCATCTGGAAAATTGAGTTCCTACTGTGTGCCATATTCCCTTTAGTCCTTACACAAACAGGATAGGTAGGAGAGAAGTTTCAGTAGCTTGATCAAGGTTGCACAACCAACGAGTAGGATAGCAAAGACTCAGACCCTCCAAGATGTTGGGTCCTGTCATCAAATGCTTTGTTCCTTGGTAAAGAAGGATTGGGTCTGAGGCAAAGTAGAGGGATTTGGTAGTGATGGAGGTTAGAGGAAAGGACTTAAAATCATACCTCATAGGCATTCACCTGCTCTGCTCCCTGTTAAGAAATCACCAGCTTAGAACTCCAAGGTACTGACTTTTCCCAACAGGCTTGTCTTCTGGTTTTAGAGGCTAAGAGGGCAGCCTGGACAACTCCTTCTTTTCACAGCCTCCCTAGCCACAGAGAGCTCCAGTGATTCCAGAGGAACTCAATGGCTTTGTGGAGTCAGGGCTACATTTAAATCCCGGATCTACCACCTTTTGACTGGGTGACATTGGGCGGGCACTTTATTTAACCATTCTGAGCCTCAGTTTCCCTATCTGTGAAATGGGAATAGTGACACTTGCCTCTGGGGATATTGTAAAGATGGACAACAATGTCAACAAAGCATCCTATGTATTGCCTGACACGTAGTAGACACCCAGCAAATGGATGTGATGATTAATTGTTATTATCACCTGCACTGGAAGGCCCTTCTGCACATTCTTCCAGGAAGTCTCCGGTCTTAAGAAGAGGCCACACCCCGCCCCCTGCAGACCCTGCCTGCATCGTGTCTGCTAACTGGGGACCCACCTTCTGGGCGTAGGAGAGCTGGTTGTAGGTTGCCATGGTTGCAGCCTCATTGGCACAGGCCTCTCTGGCTTTGTCAAAGGTCAACTTGTACTGGCCCAGCGGGGAGCGTAGATGGAACACCCCCACGGTGGTATCTAGACAAAGAAGAAGAGGAACCAGGTCAGCCTACCTCGTTGGCGGTGTTTCCAGCAGTGAATTTTGAAGAATTTTCCAAGCGAAGCCCAGCTGTACCCCTGCATGTCTTCTGAAGCTACTTCCCCTTTAAGTTATGTTGAAGCACAGCACTTAATATATTTATTTCTTTTCTAATGATAAAATTGCCATATGTTCTTTGTAGAAATTGGGGCAATACAGAAAAGTAAACAAAGAAATAAACAAGAATCAGCTATAATCCTACTCCCCAGAAATAATCATTGCTCCATGGCTAACATTTTGATGTACTTCCTTCCAGAATTTTAACTGTATTTTTTGGTAACTTTTTATTTTGATATAACTTCATATTCTTTCCGTCTTTTTTCCTGTGAATTTATAGATGTCATATATATTATAAATATGATAGCATACTGCAGATACAGTTTTCAAAACTCTTCCAAACTTAATATTAAATCGTAATTATTTCCCAGATTATAAATTTTCTCTGATAACGTGATTCCCTTTGCCCCATACTCATAATTGAATAGTTTTGTGACCTTTAGAACTATAAAAAATACATTAGAGTGAGTTTCTAACAAGGGGTCTGTGTGTTTTCTGATCCTTGCTATCCTTTTTTTTTTGAGTTGGAGTCTTACTCTGTCGTCCAGACTTGGAGTGCAGTGGCACGCTCCCGGCCACCGCGGCCTCGACCAGCTGGGCTCTGGCGATCCTTCCGCCTCAGCCTTCCAAGTAGCCAGAACTACAGGCGCGTGCTACCATGCCCGGCTAATTTTTTATTTGTTGTAGAGACGAGGTCTTGCCAAGTTGCCCTGTGGGTCTTGAGCCCTCGGGCTCAGACAATCCACTTGCCTCGGCATCTCAAAGTGCAGGGATTACAGGCTGAGCCACCGAGCCTGGCCTTTTGCTATTCTTTCTAAAAAAGTTTTTAAAAACTCATTTCCCCTCTAAGATACTGGAAAATTTATATCATTCATTCACAGCTGGTGATTTTTTCTAATTAAACAATTGAGTGCAGAGACCAGAAATAGTTCAATAACCAAGTCACATTTTATAATGCCAAGTTCACCATAAAACACCTCAAAAAGGATACTATCTGCATCACAAAAAGCTAAGTTTAAGTTTTTCTTGTTTGACCATAATCCAGTAAGTAGCACAATTTACAAGTTGTGATCTCATCAGTCATACTCCAAATGCAAACACTTGCCAATTTAACAGCCTGGAGAAGTATGGAGAAGTGTGCCTTGTCTCCTTGTTAAGACAACACAGTTCTTAAAGCACATTTGAGTAGATGTGGATCACTATATTTGATCACCCTTTACTGTCAGATACATATGTTATTTCTAACTTTTTTGTGATGTTAAAAAATGCTGGGATGGTATGTTTATCTTTACTCCATTCTTGGCTATTTCCATAGGTGGAGTCCCAGAAATGGATTCATCGAGTCTCGGTGAGAATTATTTCAAGGCTCCCTGCAGCGTGCATTGCCAAGTTGGTCTGTGAAGGATGCCCAGTGTGCCATCCTATGAACCATGTGTGAGCAGCGCTTCCCCTGCCTGCAGGATGGACTGCAGGTGTGCCTTCAGGGAAGGCGTGGCGTCATCGACCACTTGGCTATAGCAGAGGGCGGGTCCCACTTGATGCCCAGTAATTTAATATCTCTGCCAGCATTTTCTTGGTACTCATAAGAAAGCAGAAGAGAAAAAACCCCGAAGGAGCTGGACGGTGCTCCATGAACTCCCCGCCGGAAGTAAGCTGCAGAAACAGGCAGTATTTGCTGAATAAACAGTGTCCTGAAGGAAAAACCAAGCATGTCTGGATTCCACACTCCCTGGGGCAAATGACTTCTCAGTCAGCTGGGCCCTGCTGCTGGTTTTTTTGCTCTGATCCTAAGCAGTAACTGTCTCTTGCGTCTCTATGCTTGGAAGTCCTGTCATGACCATGATCACAGAATGTTCCCAACCAAGCTTTCAAGCTTCTCATCACCTCCTCTGCCCACCTGCTTGAACCCAGCACCACCACTGCATTCAGTTGTTCGTGACGGAACCTCACATCACAGAGAATGTCTCCTTTTCTCTAGTCTACACCCATCATGTGTCCTTTCTCCCTTCCCTTACTCTTCTCAGTACAGACCCTGTGGCATGGGAGTTCCAGCCTTGCTCTCTCCTCCCTGTGGCCTTGTCCTTCGCATCTGACCCTTGGCCATTCTCTCCTGCCCAAGCTGTGCCCCCAGTAGATGCTCCTGTGTTTAGCCCAACTCAAGCCTCGATCAAGTCTCCACCATAGATAGCCCCAGGCCTTTGTTAGGCTCCTTGGAAGACCCTTTCCCTCGCCTCACCTGAGGTCCTTCCCTTCTCTGACTATTCTAAAAATATTTGTTAGTGATCAACTTCCATATGATATTTTCAAAGCCACAGTAATTCAAAAATGTTTATCTGAAGAAGCCCCTGAGGGTACCACGTAGAACTGTTTCCAAGCCTGGAGTAAGTTTCCAAAATAGAATCTTCCCATCTTCTCCCACCGGTAGCCCTTGATAAAGCTGGTTCAGAGGCTGGCTCAGGAGTGGACATTTGAGTTCCAAACCTGCTGTTGAATAAGAAGCTGTGTGACCTTCAGCGAGTCCCTCTCCAAGGTCCCAGAGAAGACCAGAGAAGCCCTTCCAAAGTCTTCATCTCATAGGAAGAATTCTAGCTGCCATCTTTTCTTCCTCCCTCCACATTCGGGCTTTATCGAGGTTTCCCTTCCTCCACCCTCTCTCCAAAAAAGTCTCTTCTCCACTATTGTCTATCTGTATTTCCTTTACTCTACCTACAACTTTAGCTGTATTAATAATAGGCTGGGCACAGTGGCTCACGCCTGTAACCCCAGCACTTTGGGAGGCTGAGCGAGAGGATTACTTGAGCCAAGAGTTCAAGACCAGCCTGGGCAACACAGCAAGACTTCATCTCTATAAATAATAATAATAATAATAATAATAGTGACACCGTGATCTCTAAAAAAATTTGTTATTGTGATAAAATATGTAAACATAAAATTTACCCTTTTGATCATTTTAATTATACGACTCAGTGGCATTAAGTACATTTACAATGTTGTGCAACCATCACCACTATCTGTTTCTAGAAAATTTCCATCAGCCCAAACAGAAACTATATCCATTAAGCAATACTTCTTCAGTCTCTGGAAGCCTCTATTTTTCTTTCTGTCTCTATGAATCAGTCTACTGAAGTCCTCAGATAGGTACAGTAACATAATATTTGTCCCTTTGTGTTTGGATTCTTTCATTTAACATAATGTTTTCAAGATGCATCCATGCTGTAGCATGTATCAGAATTTCATTTCTTTTCAAGTCCAAATGATATTCCGTTGTATGGATATACTACATTTTGTGTATCCACTCATTTGCTGATGGACATTCTGGTTGCTTCCTCTTTTGGCTACTATGAATAATGCTATTAGGAACATGGGTATACAAACAGCCATTTCAAATCCCTGCTTGAACTTTTCTCCGACTAATCTTGCTCTATTTCAGCGGCACCACCAGCATGAGGCAAGTTGCTGTCTTCTGTCTCATAACTCCCTTTCCCTTGCCTTATTCAGTTAAAAAAAAGTTTTCTCAAGCACACTGGGAATCTCCTTGCCAGCACAGACAATGTCTTATCTATCCTATGTATTTTCCCCGCTTATACATTCTGTCTCATCCCAGAGGGGAGTTGAGGTGTATAGAACAGGTGTTAAGTCAACAGTTGTCACAGAGATGTGTAAAAGCTGCCTCTGGTCAGGTGCCGTGGCTCATGCCTGTAATCCCGTCACTTTGGGAGGCTGAGGTGGGAGGACTGCTTGAGCCCAGGAGTTTGAGATCAGCCTGGGCAACATAGCAAGACTTTGTCTCTATTGGAAAAAAAAAAAAGTCTACCTTGTGAAAATGGCCAAGTCTGTCAAACAAACCCCACTCAGAGAGATCTGATACATACAGATTGGCCATAATGCGTAGTGCCCCGAGTCACCTCCTGAACCACTGAAGTCCATCTCTGCCTTGTTTGGGATTACCTTTTGGGTCCTTCCTGGCTTCCTTCACTGCGTTTCAAGATGCCCTGTCACTTCCGCCTCCCGCCTCTGCTTTTCCATGTGGCTTTCAACATTCTTTAGCCTTACGATTCTGAGTTTTATTGCACCCGTGAACTTATTGTAAGCCATTCAAACCATCCCTGAAGTAAATGGGGTATGTGCTGTCAGTGTTCTCCTCCAAAACCATTGTTGAGAAACTGCTTCTGCACGAGGCAGACACTTCTTGTGGCTTCATGCCCCAGACTGTGCTTCTTAGATTCAACCAGTCAGGGTTCAAGTTGCTTAGCAACTTGGGAGAAGAAGTATCAGGAAAATTAATGAGGGACAATCTTTGAGCTCCCGCCTGGCTCTAACAGTCTCAGGTTCGTGGAGTTTCCTCTGCTCTCTGTGGCCTTCACTGGGTCTGGGCTGTGCAAGGGCTGATGGGCCTCTGATTTTGTTTTGTTTTGTTTTTCTTCTTCCCCTGACACAGCCCCTTCCCTACGCCAGAAGAGAAGGGTGCTCTGTGCCCTCACCCCAGCCCCACTGACCCTGGAAGTGGAGATCGGCGCAGTTGGCATCTGGGTGGCACTGTCCATTGTCCTGTAAGCAACGGTCAACCGGCAGCTGTTCCGGTTCACAGTTCAGCCCGTCTCCCACGTAGTGACTCTTACACTCACACTTCTGTTTGCCCTGTGGGGGAGAGTGGGAGAGGATTGGAAGAGCCCCTTCTCTGGGACCCAGGACACCCCAGAGCCCGGCACCACTACCCGGCCTGGGAGGCGTCCAGAAGGAACGGGAGGATGGGCTTCTCCTGCCTGATGCGGATGAAATAATTGTACGTCTCCCTTTTTTCCACGCTCCCAATGAAGCGCCACCCTTCACATCTCAGTCCAGATGTGGCTTCCTGAGAGAGCCTCTCCCTGACCACCCTGCGCAAAGCAGCTTTTCCAGGCCCTTCTGGCACACGGGCCTGATTTCTGCTCTTCATGGCTCTTTGTGCTCTCCAAAAGGCTTTCATCGTGCATTTGCCTCTGTGATGAGCAAAGCCCCCTCTGACTACCTGCAATGATCTCCCTGAAAGCAGGAACCCCACCTGCCTTTGTGTTACTGGGTTCCTGGCACTTGCAACAGCACTTGGTAGGTGAGTGACTGCTGGTTGACTCGATGAATGAGCTCATTTAATCTCCACAACAACCCTGTGATGCCGGCATTATGAGGCCCACTTTACACAGGAGGAAACAGGCTCAGAGGAAGTAAGCAGGCAGCCCCAGGCCACATAGCTTGCAAGGAACTAAGGCTCAAGGTGGCCGGTCTCCAAGACCACGCTTGTGACTAGTAACAGACACTATTTTGTACCCTCCTCTCTTCCCACCGGGTAGATCGGACACTTCTGCCCTTCTAGGAAGACGGGAGGGAGGGTCCACACTTGCACTTTCATGCCATGACTTACCATCCTTTTGTTTTAAGAAACCTTTAATTCTGAAGAGTTTTAGATGCATAGAACAGTTGTAAAGAAAGAATTCTCCTGTCTCCTCCCAGTTCTCCCGATGTTCACCCCTTATGTAATTGTTGTTTGTCAGAGCTAAAAAGTGAACATCGGTGCATTACTACCAACAAAACAGTCAACTTCTCGAGGGCTTCACCAGTGTTCCCATGAATGTCCTTTTCTGCCTATGGTACCACCTTGCTTTCAGCCCATGATGTCTATCGGGAAATAGACTGAGGTGGGAGAAAGGCTTAGGAGGCTGGGCCATAAGCAGAGCCCAGGAGGTGCAGAGGCAAGACAGAGTGAGGCCCAAGGGAGGTCCGAGGAAGAGCAACTCACCGGGCTTGTCATCGTGCAGGTGGCATGCTCGTGACAGCCCCCGTTGAGGCCGTCCGCACAGGGGTCGATCTCTGTGCAGCTGTGCCCGTCCCCCTTGTAGCCCTTCTGGCAGCTGCAGGAGACTTTCGTGCCCTTCTGGGAGCATGTGGCACCCTTCGCGCAGCCACCGTTGTTCTGCTTGCAGAAGTCCACCACTGCAAGAGCCAGGAGAGGAATCCACTCACCACCGTCTGCGTAGCTGGGGCTTCGGGTCGGGGTGTGGGTCACCCTGGCTCCAGTAAACAGGCTCACGCTGCCTTTGCCCTCTATGCCCTGTGGCCTCTGCGACACTGATATTTTTGTGATATCCCCACAGACCAGGCCTGATGACACCTGTCCACTGCTGTTCCCTTTGTCACATTCTTCAGAGCCCCACTTTGGGAGCAGTTTTCAGAATGAGTTTGGGTTTTGATGTTAGGACAGAGTGCGTGTGTGTGTGAGCATGCGCGTGGGGTTAGTGCAATATCGAACACCTTGTGAGACAGACTCTGTTACTCCTAGTCTACAGATGAACACACTGAGGCTTAGAGAGCTTAATGGACCCAGCAAAGGCAAGACAGCTAGGAGTGACAGGGATGAGATTTACACCCAGAGTGGTGTGGTTCCAAAGCCCACACTCTGCCCGCGGCTCTGCTTCTCCTTCTTAAGTCCTTAGTTTTCACCATTCCCCAAATTTCAACCCAATGACAGGTTAGTTCTGGCCTCAGGAGTAGCTGGAAGGCCATTTGATTTCTCCTGCCTGGATTTATGCAGACTTAGGGTAGCCACTTGAGACCCTGGCAAAATAAAGAGGACAAAAAGCTTTGTTCCAAGGATGGTAGGGTAGAGAGAGGAGAGAGAGAATATGGTCTTTGCTGCCATTATTGAGTGTGACTCACTTCTGGGCCGCCCTGCAGGCCAATTATGTATAGCAAGACCTAATTTTATAAAGAAAGTATGTATATTTATTAATGAAAATCCCTGGAAAGCACATGTGACCGAGACGGCTAACTTTCCCCAATACCTATTCTTTTCCTATAGTAACCAATTTTCAGCTGGGTTCTTGGTTGTCCAACAAAAGACTACATTTCTTTTTTTTTTTGAGTTGGAGTCTCACTGTCGCCCAGACCGGAGTGCAGTGGCCACTCCCGGCCACCACAGCCTCGACCTGCTGGGCTCCGGCGATCCTTTTGCCTCAGCCTTCCGAGTAGCCAGAACTACAGGCGCGCACTACCACACCTGGCTCATTTTGATTTATTGTAGAGATGAGGTCTCGCTGCCCAGGCGGGTCTCGAACCACGGGCTCAGGCAATCCACTCACCTCAGCCTCCCAAAGGCGCGGGATTACAGGCTGAGCCACTGAGCCCAGCTAAAAGACTACATTTCCCAGGCACTCTTGTGACTGGGCATGCCCAATGAGGAAGTTCTGGCCAATGGGACAGAAGCAGACGTGGCTTTAGCAACTTCTGGGTTGTGTTTTTAAAGGGCAGGTGTGTCTCCTTTTTCTCCCACTTCTGCCCTGCTGCTTGGGATGTGCTTATGGCCACGGCCATTTTGAGCTGGGTGAGTGAGCGGTGGTAGAGTAACAGGACGGAAGGGGTCTAGGTCCAAAGAATAATGTTGTGTATTTTCTCAATTTTTTGAAGTAAGACTGGGTTACTTGCTGAGTTAGAAAAACACCATAACATAAAGTGCTCCCCAGTTTGCAAAGCAATTTAAAAACCATGACCTGGGAGGTGGGTGGATCAAGCATGAGCGAACTCATGAAGGAAACCGAGTCACAGAGAGGGCAGGTGTTACCGAAGGGGTCCAGGCAGGGGCGGAAGTGCCAGGACAGAGCCAAGCACTGTGTCGCCCTCACCCCCACCCCGACAGGATCTCACACGGCCCAAGGGGACACACCTGTGCATGTGAGTCCATCACCTTCGTAGTTCAGGTTGCACTCGCATGTGTTGTTTTCCTTGCAGGTGGCGTGAGCAGAACACGGCGGCGTGCAAACTGGGGGCAGGTCTGCAGAGAAAGGGGCCACCACTCATCCTGCACTCATAGTGGGGGCGGGGACCCATCTGAGGAGCCTTCCTGAGATGCTCTTGCTGGCCCACCGCTGTGTTCATAAGCTCCCCGTATTGCAGGAGCATGGAGTGATTTGCTAAGATCCCATCCAGCCTGGAGATTCTAGAGTTACTCTTCAATATTAAGACATCATCTCTGAACCATTATCCAGATTTCAGTGCAAGTCGGTGACCTTCAGGGGCAATCAATTAAAACTTTACACCTGAAAACTTGTTCGCAGGAATGGACGTGGCAGATCAGCCTTCTGGCTCTAAAGACACGCACGGGATTCCAGATGGAGACAGTTACATTGGAGAAGAGATTCCAGGGCTTTCTGAGGGCACCGTGGAGCTGGGGAGAAGGCTGGAGCTTTGGTGATTGGATGGGGCTATGTCATGCACAGGCAGCATGAGGCCATGGGACATTTAGGGAGGAGGTGGGAGGAAGAAGTGTGCCATACTGTTGGGATTTCCGAAACTTCCCACAGGAAGAGCCCTGTTATGCCCTCTGATCCCGGGGAGGCTGAAATGACAGCAAGTCACACTGGATAATTCTACCATCACATTTCAGAACTTCTATCAGAACACAGGGCTTTGGGTAAAAGGGAAACCTCAGAAGACTGACTGCTTAGTAAGGATCAAGCTGTGAGGACGATCATCATGGTCACATGTTCTGATGGCAATGCCAGCTGCCAGGCCTGAGCGTTCATAGACACTGGGCACTTCAAAACCATGCTCCCTGACCATCCCTATGTAGAATGTGCAGAAGGCTCTTCTTTTTTTACAGAAGAGCAAGTCAAAGCTCAGAGACGGTGGATTATCTAAGGCCCTTTATCTAGCAGATGGTTGGATCAGGGGTCAGACCCTGGTCTTGGGGCTCCAGAAACTGCTTTTTCTATGAAACCACTCAGTCTCTGGATCAGGCCACCTTCCTTGGCCGAGCCTGGGATTCTGTGCTGGAGGTGGGGGTATCCCACATACAGCTCAGCATGCTGGTTTCACAGGTTTAAGTTAAATCTCCTCATCTAGTGGTCCTGCAAGTCACTAACCTCCCCAGGGCCAGGGCCACAGAGGCAAATCATCTTTTACACCTGCTTTATCATTTTTTTCAAACGTTACTCAGACTCCAACCTCACTTGTAGGTTCGGGGTCTGGGGCAGTCCCGGACCACCAGAGGCGGGTCACCCCCATGACAGACCTGTTGGAGTGTAACAGAAGCGACCGGTCCACCCCGTTTCACAGAAGCACTGCCCGGAGCCCGTGATGCCATCGTCGCACTGGCCATGGTCCGAGCAGCCACAGGCTAAAAGCAAACGAGAGTGTGATCAGCAGTCAGGGTTGAAATCCCACCTGCCAGCTCGCCAACCCCTTGCTGCCTGTGCGTTTTCGGTGTGGGAGGCACCAGGTTTCTACAATGGTCACTCATTCGTTCATCCGACATTCAAAAACAACTTACTCTAAGACTACCTGGGCCAGGCCTTGCCAGGCAATGAGTTTACAGGGGAAAAAAAAAAACCTTAGGGAAGGTCTTCGCTTCCACGGGTGACCGTCTCAGAGTGACCAGCTGTGGGTTGTGTGATTATAAATGTGATGAATGTCACAATTATGGAAGTAGAGGGTGCCATAGGTATATGTAACAGGATACACGGGGACAGGAATCCATCTGGGGCCTCCTGGTGGAGAAATTGATGTAAAGGAAAAATTGAAATATGCTGTGCTAATTCTGCCACGTGTAGCTGCCTCCAGCACTTTTGTACCAGCCACTAGCTCTTGCATTGATGGCTGTATCTCCAAAGGGGCCCCACCTCTGTGCCTGCTGCCCTGAAGTAGACCCTGCACAGGGCACTGGAGTGATCCCTTCTTGGCTGTTCATGACACTCTTGTGTCCACAGTGTCTCACTGGCCTCCCATCACACTCAGGTGCTGAAGACCTTTCTCTGGCTCAGAAGACCTGGCTGTTGGTGACCTTCAGAGATTTCAATTCCCTTCCTCTCTTCCTCTCCTTTTTCTTCTGCTCAGCTGTCTTGGCCTCCTTGTATCCTTGTGTACCAAGCTGCCTCCGGCCTTGGGGCCTTGGCACCTGCTCATCTGTCCTCCAGGAAAGCCATTCCCCTGGTCTGCACCGTCCAGGACCACAGCCACTAGCTACATGTGACTACTTAAATTCAAACTCATTAAAATGTACAACGGGGTTCCTTAGTCCATTTGTGAGTGCACAACAGCTGCGTGTGGACAGTGGAGTCACAGACCCCCTCCAGCGCTGCTGAGGGTTCATGCCTGCTTGCCGATTCCTTGCCTGGTTCCTCATGTCTGCTGGGACTCCACTCAAATGTTCCCGGTGGGAGATGTCTTCTCAAACAATGCCCCTTTTTGTTCATGACTCCCAGCCTGCTTCCTTGTCCTTATATCCTCTATAACAATTTAAAAAAAATTTTGTTTCTGTAGTTTTTCGAGAGCTGGGTTTTTGTCCTTACTGTCCACCCACCCCGCTAGCCACGTATCCCTAGACTTTGAGCCAGTCACTCAACCTCTTTGTACTTTGTTTTCCTCATCTGCTAGTTGGGGATAATAACAGTGTCTACCTCAAAGGGTTGTTAAGAGGGTGACATGGTTAAACGTAGAGGCCTGGCATATCGTAGGCACTTGAATGCTGGCTATCGATATCAGTAGGGACTCATTAATTGCATGTTGGTTGAATGACTGAATGAGTGCTGTCCAGCCGCAGATTGACTTGGTGGCTGCTGGGGTAAATGTCACCTCGGAGGTGAGGCTTTTCAATGAATGGAAACTGGAAATACACCAAGGGTCCCACACAGGGCAGGCAGGTGGGAGGTGGGGGTGGCTGGGAGAAAGGCCAGGCAAGTGGCATGGGCTTGGACAGGGAGCACACAGCTAGGAGACAGGCGACAGCTGGGCAGTGGTGCTACGTACACTGACAGTCAGGCCCGAATCTCCCCGGCCAGCACATCTCACACGCCGTCCCATTGAAGCCGATGTTGCACTGACACTCTCCGGTGGCCCAGTACTGATCGAGACAGACGCCGCGGTTGTTACACGGGGCCTCTGGGCCTCCAGGACAGGCTGGAAGAGACCAAACGGCTGTGACTCGGCCATCTCCCAGACCCAGAGCAGCTTAGTGCCTTTGTGAACGTTCGGTGGCTGCTGATCTGCCTTAGCCCAGAGGACCTGGGATATCTAGGGTGGATATCTAGGGTGAGCCATCCGTGGATATCTAGGGTGAGCCACTGGTCTATGGGCTCAAGTGTAGCTGATAGAATTCCCCTTGGCAGGGTCATACACTGAGCTGTGCATTGCATCTGGGGCCAGGAGACGGGGATCTGGTGGATCTGGGTTGAGTAATGAACTTGCTCTGAGCTTCAACTTTTTTAGCTGTAAGTGATGATGGTGATAATGACGCTGAAGGTGATGATGATGATGTATGATAACGCCTGACCTCTACCACCGTTGCTACCGTGAGGATCTAAGAAAGTAACCATAACTGAGAGCGTTTTGAAAATCTAAGGCACTGAGCAAATACAAGGGACGACACCGATTTCTTTGAAGAGTTCACACTCTAGTGATGAGGGCTGGAGCTGGGCGACCATGTGGACTCTCAATCCAGAAGACTCTCAAAGAGGTTCCATGGGTGGGGGATGCATGGTAGTAAAAACTCCTGGGGACAGAGCGTGGGACCGTGGGCTTGCTTCCCATTCTCTCCATGCCTCTGTATTCTCATCTAGAAAATGGGAGCAGCAACAGAAACTCCTCCCAGGGGTTGTTGCCCAGTTTGAGTTGATTGATACGAGGGAGGAGCCAAAAAACCTGGAATTTATTTACAAAAAAATGTGTATTTACTCTTAAATGTTTAACCTCGTCACCTTCAAAGTACTCTTCGTTTGATGCGATACACCTACCGAGATGCTTTTTCCACTGCTCAAAACAGGTTTTGAATTTGTCAGTGTTGATGCCTCTTATTTCTTCTGCTGTTTTTTTGTTTCACCTCTTCTATGTAGGGAAAACACTTCTCTCTGAGGACTTTTTCATCCGGGGAAATAAACAAAAGTCACTAAGGGCCAGGTTGGGGGTGAATAGGGAAGGTGGGGCATAGGAGTCATGCTGTATTTGGTCAAAAACTGCTGAATACTCAGCATGGTGTGGGTAGGTGCACTTGTAAATCACCCATCATGAAATGGACAAACATGTTGAAAGAATCTTCAAAAAAAAAAAAAAATCACCGAAGTCAAACACCGCCTCTCACAACAACACTAGCTGGTCCACTGGTGCTGATGGGTTCCTAGAACACTTACCTAGTGGGGGACGCCTGTACTACAAGGGGCCTGCCCACCAAAAGATAATTTTGCTTTTTTAGGGCCTCTCCCTTGTCCGTACGGGAAATAGCACTCAATACGTGTGCCTACCTTGGACAATGTGTGGCAGATGGGAAGTGCCCCTAGGCATTGGTTATGCTGCTGCTGTTGATGTGTTGTTGGCTAGTTGTACCCAACATAGGGGTTTCAGGGGGGGCCCAAATGCCCTTTGGCAGGGATCCCTTTCCCAGAGAGATCACAGAGGGAGGGCAGTGCTGCACACCCTTTAACAGGGGTTTCAGGAAAATATGGCCCATACACACCTGGTGCTCTCAGTATATCACCTGCCGAGGTAGCATCATAGCAAATGATTTAAGCAGACATGCTTATCAATGTCATGGGCACTGCATTGCATCAAAATGAAACACAGCGTCTGGGGCACCACAGGAGGTGCCTATGTGCTAATGTAAAGCAAACAAGCAGACACACAATGACAACATATGCACAGTGGAATCTCAGTTCAGTAAGAGGCAGAAAATGTCAAGTGAAAGAAGTGGAAGAGACGACACCCAGCACTTCAGAGGGATTGCTCTGGGTCATCGGCAGTGCTCCCCCAGTGCTATAATTTCGGTTCCCAGTGCCGAGCAGGGAGCCTGAGATCCTTCTAGACCCACGGGGAGGAAGGGGCACCTCACCCTGGCAGTCTCGCCCGAAGTAGCCCTTGCAGCACCGGGGGAGCCGGATCACCAGGCCGCACTGCTGCCGGCAGCCTTCCGCGTTCCTCTTGAAGGGCAGGTTGTAGAGACACTTCTGCTTCTCGCCCTGGAGGAAGAGAGCACCATCCTTCCAGCTTCCACCGCACGGGCTGGGGCTTTGGGGCTCCCGTCTGTTCCCCAGTGGAGGATCCTGGCACTGCCCAAGGTGGAAACGGGACTTCCAACGGGAGCTGGTTTTTTTTCCTGCTTTTGTTTTTAAAGAGTGGATTTTTCTGAAGGGAGTCAACAGGCCAGCGACAGCTCTGGGGTGGGGGTGTGCAGAGCTAGAGATTTCTCCCCAGGCTTATGAGAAAGAACTTTCTGACCCTTAGAGTGGTTTGCAAATGGCACGGGTGCCTGGGGCCGTCGGGGAGAGGTAGCTTCCTGTCAAGGAAGGGGTGTGCAGCAGGCTCTCAAGTCCTCAGCAGGAGGGCGTGAGTTACGTTTTGTTTTGTGGTGGTGGTTGTGTTATCGGTTTGACTTGCAGACTACCAGTAACTGGACTTTGGAATAACAAAAAACATTATTTACTGAGCACTTACTGTGTGCCAGGCACTTAAATGTGCCCACATTTAAATGTACTTTTCCTAATAACCACATAAAGAATTATTATTAGTTCTATTTTACAGAGCCAAAATGGATAGATCATGTGACTTGCAAAGGTTGAGGAATCTGACCCCATACCTGTGGACTCCAAATTTCACTGGCTTCACCAGTACTCTACATTACTTTCTGGGTTTTGATCTTAGTGTTGCTCCTTGGGTGCTCTGTGGCCTTGGATGAATTCCTTGCCCTCTCTGACACTCATTTTCTCATAAATAAATAAAGTGCAAGTAATAAGAGCTTCTAATGAATATATAAAGGACCCAGTACAGAGCCTGGGATGTGGACAGCAGCCAGCAAAACGTAGCTGTTATTTTCATAATTATAATTGTCTTTTAAGTCCTTCTAAGCCTCAACCTCATGATTTCCTAGACACTTCCTAGAAGATAGGTGATAGGTTGACAGGGTTCCTAGGCTCAGAATGACCATCTCTCGTTCCATTGGCTTGGGTGTTGAAAGAGTGTCATAAATTACGTTTACGCCCCGGCCCCCACCCTCTCCCCCACACGTCCTCACACACACCAGAAGACTGAGGTCTGATAATGAAACACACTCATGGCTCTCCAAACATTATCACTGCATTGTTAATTACCTTTGGTTTACTCCACCTCGGGCAGCTGGGAATATTGGAACAGCTCCCACAGTCTCCCTGGTATGTAAGAAAAAAAACAAAAATTAAAGACCAAGAATATCAGAAAACACAAGGAAATGTCTCCGGTTGACACCTGGATGGACTGATTAAAGCCTCAATTAACCTTGATCAGGATTCTGACTATGGTCAAGAGCATAAAGACAAACACAGGGCAGCTTGGCCATGGACGATTCTCAAGGTGTGTCTTGGCCCTCAGGTCCGTGGGTGAGAACTCAGGAGGAAGAGCCTGTGTTACACAGAGCCTGGCCAGGGCCATGTCCCAGAGCATCGGACAGTCATTTATACTCTTTGACCCTTAGTTTTATGATAGACAAAAGAGGAATAATAATTCTTGCTGTTTGATCTTTAGGGGATTGGTGAGGGAAAATGACTAACTGAAAAAAATGTGTGTGGATACACTGTGGAAATTAAGAAGGCAGCAACCCCTGTAGCAGAAAGGACAATTGGTTTCATCTCTCACTTTGATTGGTATGCTAAACATTTGGGATTTTTGGGGGGCAGGGGGAGAGTTGGAGTCCTATTCTGTCACCCAGGCTGGAGTACAGCGACACGCTCACAATTACTGCAGCCTGGACCTACTGGGCCCAGGCGATCCCTCCGCCTCAGTCTTCCAAGTTGCTGGAACTTCAGGCAAGTGCCACCATGCCTGGCAATATATATATTTGATATATTTTAAAATTTAATTTAATTTTTAATTTTAGAGAGGAAGTCTCACCAAGTTGCCCAGGCTGGTCTCAAACCCCTGGGCAGGCGTAGCCACCACTACTGTGTCCTGCTAACATCTGGGATATTTACCGAATGCCTACAAGACGCCAGGTAGTGATACCAACTGGTGACAAACTTTTCTATGTAAAGTCACTTTACCTCTTTGGGACTCAATTTTCAAATCTATATGGGGGGTGAGCTGAGGGTTGAGCAAAATGGCAGCTCGAAGGCAGTACTCAGTGAGGTGGGTGGGTGACCGCGAGCCTGCCACACCCAGGGCAGGGCCTGGGACAGATGTTCAATCAACGCTGCCAAATGAGTGAGAGGGGGACTGAGAAGCATGGGATTCGAAACTGGTCATACGAAATTGCCATTTGTGTAGGCCCTAAACTGTCAAATACTAACCGAGACATTGAAAGTAGTAAATGTGTCACAGCGGCCCCCCAGGGTGGGATCGATCAGTAGACAGTCAATGCCGTAGGCCACGCCCAGGTCAAACAGGAGCTCACGCTGCACAATTCTGCATGTTTGGCCATTTAGAAAGAGCTCACCCTGAGAGAGAGAGAGAGAGAGAGAGAGACAGAGAGAGACAGAGAGAGACCGAGACACAGACAGAAAGACAGAGAGAGACATAAAGACAGAGAAGGGGGGAGAGAGAGAGAGACAGAGAGATAGAGACAGAGACAGAGAGACAGAGAGTGAGAGAAGAGAGACAGA